CAGGGGCACCGGGGCAGCCCCCGGCTTCCACTCACTGTTGGTGTCATGCAGCAGAAGGGCCCTGACTGCTACCAGCTCTGCCCGCGCTGCCTTCAGTTCTGCCTGGCCCCACACGTCTGGGAAAGGCAGGGCAGCGGGTCAGTGCTGTGCCAGGGCTGCCCGCGGGCTCCTGCCCGCTCCCAGCCCCTGCCTGCTCCTGGCCCCTGCCAGGCATTGCCGGGGCCCTGCCGGCGGCACTTACGCACGGCGATGAGGGCTGCCAGGGTGGCCCCCAGCACCAGGACCACCCCTATGCCCATGGCCAGGACGGTGCCCTGCGCCCTGCAGGATGCGGCCGGAGGGGACCCGGGCGCCGGTGCTGCGGGAGAGAAGCCGGAGGTGCCCTGAGCCGGGGCTGAGCCATCCTGGGGGACCCCGGCACGGCCGGGAGAGGAGCCGGGCCGCGGAGGGAAGGGGCTCAGCCAGCTGCCTGCTCCTGCCCGCAGCATCCCCGCGGGCAGGGCTTACCTCGAGCGGGGCTGGGTGGGTAGCGGATCTTCAGGCTCTCGTACAGGTCCGGCCCTGCCGTGGCCATCCCTGGCAGCTGGCCCGGCATGGGGAGCCTCGGCACACACCGGCGAGGGCAGCCCAAGTGCCAGGAAAGGGAACTTGGCAGCTGGGCAAGCCCACAGCAGCTTGCGGGTGCCTGTCCCTGCCGCTGGCCAGGGCGTCACACGCGTCCCGCCGCCCCGAATGGCATCATCTGGGGACAACCCCCCGTGCAGGGCACACGGTCACGTACCAGTCCCCATCCCCCACCCGTGGCCAGCTCCTGCCCCAGGCCCTGGCCCTGACCCTGTGGTTTTGTCCCAAAACGCGTCTCAATCGCCATTTGTGCTTCCCACCCGCAGAAACGTTGGGGGAACCTCTGAATCCCAGAGGGAACCGGCTCCTGGCTCCCGGTGCACCGTGCCCGGCGCTGCGGGGCTGCCAGCCCTCATCCTCCCGACCTGCCAGGAGGGCCGGCAGCCTTCAAACGGGGTGGGCAGCACGAGGAGAAGGGCTGTTGTTATCATCACCATCATCATCACCATCGTCATCACCGCCATCATCACCGCCATCATCATCACTGTTACACCGGCAGCATGCAGGGGCAGTGTTCTGCCCGGCTGGGAAGCCACGCGGCGGGCATGGGGATGGATGCCCGGGACAGGCATTATCCCAGCAGGATCTGTGCCAGGTCGGGACTGGGGAGCTGCCGTCTGGCACTGGGCGAAGCCCCGCATGCCCAGACCATGCCGGGGCCTGCGACGGGCACCTCCCGGCAGCACTGCGCGGGTTGGGGCTCCCCACCGGCGGAGAACCCCCAAAGCACCGACCCCGGGCGCTGCGGCGGGACAGCCGGCACCAGCCAGCACCACCACCCACGGCGCAGACCTCACCAGCGCCGGCACCGCACCCTCCCCAGGCCCCCGGCTGCCCGCACGCTGCTCCGGAAACACCAGCACGTGGTATTTCAGGGCTTCGGGTTTTTTTTTCCTCATTTCAGCCCAAACCACCATCGCGTCTGACACAGTGGCCAGAAATTGCTTCAAATGTGCAGAAACGGCGTTTTCCCAGACAATGGAGGAATTGCCCAAAAGCTCGGGGCCGCGTTTCTGCGCAGCCCCCGCTGCTGCACCAGTGGCCCTGCGGCGGGCAGACCTTCCTCCTCCTCCTCCCCTGCTCTTCCCCGCTCCCCTCCCCAGGGCACAGACCCCGCCGGCACGGCCGCCACCGGCTGCGGGGCCGCCGCCGGCCCCCCCCCCCCGCCGAGGGTCCCTGCAGCCGCACTGGCGCTGCCCCAAGCCCTCCGCCTCGCCTGCATGCCCTCACCCTTTTAGCCGCTCCATTTCATTTTCTTTTCACACATTTTTCCCATTTAAGTGCCCATCTCTTTAGGTAAGCGTTAGCGTAAGGGACTTTTTTTGCGTGGCTTTTGCGTTGAGAAGACTTTTGGGTTTGGCCGCACGGCGGGCTCTGCCGCGGAGCGGGGTTTTGATGGTTCCCTCTTGAGCCACATCTCTGCGGCCAGCCCCAGCGGGGACGGGAGCGGCAGGGCTGAGCGGGGCCGAGGGGCTCCGCAGAGCCCGGGCCTCTCTCCCTGGCAATGCCGGGTTTCCTCCCGCTTGTGCCGAGGCTTGTTGTCCAGGAACGGCAGAGCAGGACACACGGACAGCCGCGTTTCCCGACGTGCCCTGGCTGAGGACACGGTGCGGGCAGGGGTCCTACGCGGGACCTCGAGCATCATTTCTGCATCAAACCTGGTTTCGAGTCTCGGGGGGATTAACTGAATTGTCCTGTTACTGCCACTGTGTTTTCTGCCCTG